CGCCGGCTACAGAGAAGTATGTCTTACAATTGTTGGCATTTGTTCAATAAGATTTTTGGAAATGAATGCCTTTTCGTTTTTTTTTTTCTTATGCTTCTCTTAATAGGTTTTTGAATAAATTTAAATTAAAAATATTGTTGTCATCAATCAATGTTAAGTGATAGTTGGTTGGTTCTTGTCCTCCTTTTTTTTTTTCTTTTTTTTTTTTCTTTTAAAGAATGATATGATATTTAAGCATTTGATAAGATAATGTAACAGATAGTAGATTGCATTGTAAAAATAAATTGAACTTGTATGGAATCTACTACGATTATGAGTGGAGGCAGGGAGAACAAAGTTAAAAAGTTATCTAGCATCGAACTCATGTTTTTTCTCACGTATAGCTTTAGATAGTCGGTTGTCTTACTCTCTTTTTATGGCCCACACCATTTATGATACGAAATGACATTAAGTTTCTGCGAATGTACATAACACCCAGCAGGGCTTGAGATAGATCCATCTTTTATTACATATCGTTTATTTTATTAGGTGCTTGCATGTATTTTGATCAGGGCATATATTGGTGAAAACGGTTAAATTTGATGATCTGACCTTTCGGACCAGAACGGATAAATTTGTTGATTTTGACCTTTCCCTACAAAAAATAATAGTTTTCCATTTGGCATTATTGGATTATTCAGTGTACGCAGACGTTAATCATGGAACGGTCAAAATTACATTTGTACAATTTTTTTCCTTTGCTTGTTGGATTTAAAGAAATCTGCTTCCGGAGGTCATCAAACACTTTTTTATGTTCCCGATGTCAATGTCAAAGAACGGCATCACTTGTTGAACTCGCAAAAAAATTTCGAACAGCTTGATGAATGATGAGATGAGAAGATGATGAAACAACTGTTTCCAGACGTTTACATGCGATAGGAAAGGCTCAAAGGGAGGGGAAAAGCCTATCACACGAATTGGCTGAAAATCCGATTTCGAACGAACAGTTTCAACATCATTGTTTCATTGCTTGCCAGGCAAAGAAGAACATTTTTGTGTGGCCTATTATGGCTGGCGATCTCATGCGTTAGTCCAGGAAAGCCATCCACATCGGCACCTAGATGGAATATTTGTGGTCATAAAATTTTGCTATGCATATGGCGGGGTCAGCAAAACGTAGTGTATTGCGAGCTGCTAAAACAACATGAAATTGTTACTGCAGCCTACCGACGTAATGTTGCATGACAACGCTCGGTTGCACTTTGCAAGAGTTTTCAAGGATACACTGTTGCGGCTCGAATGGGAAGTTCTGCCGCACTCAGCGTACACACCAGGCATAGTGTCTTCTGATTAGCCCTTGGTCAGATCAATACAGCATGGCTTGGCTGGTGCGCGGTGTCGAAATGTTAACGAAACGCGAAAATGGGTCCTTCGATACGATATCACCATGTCGCCAGAAAGATTGCAACAGGTTGCAGAAAACGATGGAAAATATTTTCGATAACATAAATTGCACCAATTTTTCTTAATAGATGCATTTTTCAAGTGCAAAAATGATGAGAATATCTGCAAACAGCAATTAAATTTTTCGATCGATTCAGAATCACTTTGCGCATCTATTTAAGCTTGCCTGGCTGGCTTTCCGCCTAGACGTCCTGAACTCTTGTGTTCAGCCTACACATGGCAATTTCATGAATATTTAATGAAATTTGGTACAGAAATGCGCTCTGAGCCAAGGGCGAAAAGGATTTAGACTGAACCGCTCTTTCGCCCACTTCCCGCACAACGGCTTACTTAGAAAAGTATGAGTAACTGCGTTAAGGGAAGAATTGTAAGGTATTCAATAGTGGGTCATGACCCGCTTAATTGTCTGTTTATTTTCTGTTAAACAAACTTTGTGTAGATTTGGCTAATATTTAATTTGGGTTTCCTGAAAGTATAACCTTTGGTATGGACTGCGTAAAACTTGCATTTTTCTTTCACTTTTTTATAATAAATGTCTCTTCTGTCAATACAGACCTGCAATGAGAGAAGGTCAAGTGAACCTGTAGTGAGCAAAAGTCATTAAAATTACAATAAATTGTCACAATATTGTGTCTTTTAGCAAAAAAAAAAAGAAAAAAAAGTCGAAGACAAAGACAAAAATACCTTTGCGTTCATTTCATTGATGCATTCATGCTGCATTAATGGTCGCCTCCATTAATTTCAAAATTATAAGTCGATGACAAAAGGGAGAAAATAGCAAAAATAGCCTGAGTGACTTTAAAACAAAAATTCAAATAACGATCATTAAGGAATTTAAAATCCCTTTGAAGATCTGCCGCAAAGGTCGTTTGCGAATATATTATAATAGTTTTTTAAAGCCAAGTCATCGCATTCTTTTCAAAACGATAGATAGATAGATAGATAGTAAGTTTTGTCAAACGTTCTTTAGACAATGAAGTTACATCATAGAAAAATGTTCCCCTAAAGAAAAAAAGGCATTTCTAGTTGGGTATCATCGAATTTGTTATAACAAAGTAAGAAAATATATTCGCCTCAGAATAAAACCGTGTATTGGTTTATCACTGGTATTAAAGACTTTGCCAATCGTGGGCGTGTCGAATATCCGATCATTTACTTACGAGTTGATCGATTTAAGTGCTGACCAAAAGGGTCGATCTGTTGAAACTTTCCTTTGTAGCATATGGTGGTCTAAAATCTATTATAGGAGATAAATGGATTTTTTTTTTTTTTTTTTGATTTTTCGGACATAGTTGTAAGTCGGACCTAGTTGTCAATCTCCCGCTAAGGCATGAAATGAGGCTGAAAAATGTTTGGCTGTTTTAGTCTAACATTTGCTATACAGCCGTGGGGTGTGGACATACCAGGTCCAATTTCCAACTTAGTTACAAGCCATCAATTAGAAATTGATGTGGAAAACGACAACAATGCGCTCGACATAACCGATTGAAAATCTTATAGGCAACTATGCAAAAGTTTGCATACTTTATGCAGGCCTTTGATGCGTACTTGTCAGTGTTACAAGCTGAAGAACAAATCTGACATGTTTTTTCTTTAATGTTGAGCTTAAAAATGTTGTTTGTTAATATAAAATGAAAAGCATTATTGATTTAAGGCAAATGGAAATGAAATCTTCTACACAAACTTTTAAGCAATGATAAAGTTGGCTTTGTAGTAATAATATAATGTAAGTGTGGAAATAGCACATATCTTATACTGTCTTTCGGGTTTACGCAACCTTATGCCGCTGAAATATACAAAACGTACATTTCTTGGAGGATTATTAAATAAGTCGAGTTGTATGCCGACAAGACATCTGTGTAATGAAGGAATGATGCTTTCATTCGCAGAAACGTATTGTTGAATAGTGAAAAGCTGACCCAATACAATATTCGAAGTAGGAGAAACCATCAATCAGCCCAAACCCACCGTCTCAAATATTTGTGGCTTTTCTGTTGCGTAGCGTATTTTGAGCTATTCCAACCAAATGAAATCACCACTAAGATGAGAAATGGCAGCAATACGCGCCAAAGGTCATGACACTGCAATCTGTCCGAATAATGACGTTTTGCCCCAAGTGATTAATAAAACTTGGGCAGCTTTAAACTGAAATGAGCGGCCCTCTCCGCTGCAATCAATGAACATTAGTTCTTTAGATTTACACTGATCTCAATCAAGGACTTATAGCCTGTCGGAGCGGCGATTTAAACTATGATCTTCGATTTGAAGTTTCTTTCTGAGATTTATTTAGCTTGTGTTCATGTTTAATGGGAAAATTTCTATTGACATATATTGACTTGCCTATCCATACACACATGCAAACTTAAAATCCAACCGAAGTTACTCAAAAGACGCCTTGTGGAAGTTTGTGGAGCAACGTGTAAAGCGTTTAGTCATTTCATCTATGATGTATGGAAGGAGGTCTCAGTTTTAGCCCACTGGGTATATTCTCCTTCAGCCGTCCCTATGTCCATTATTGATTCCGTCTCTTAATTCCCCAATGCATTAATTTGCCCGTCCGTCCACTTGTCTTGTGGTTCTTCCGTTCATCCTGATTGTTCCTCAAATTTATGAGATTAATTTGGCATTTTTCCTGTTTCTTTGTGAGAAAACATCGGAAACAATGCAACGTTAAATCTTACTTATAACATAATAAGATTTATCTTCATTTTTTTTCATGCTATAAATACATCTTGTGCTCACCAAAACACAAAAAAAAAAAAACGCTTAAAATTTATTGTTGAAAAGTCACACAGTCTTCCCTTGCGGAAGTAGAAGGATGTATCAGTTAATTTAGTAAACTCTTTGGTTGACTCTTTTTTGTTGATAATGTCAAAAGTTTTAAAAGGAGAAATTTGTGTAAAAATCTCAATACATTTTAAATTGAGTAGTCAGCATTTTTTGGGACTCAGTACTAAACTTCACTATTACGCATTACGCTTGCCTTACTTTCTATTCAGTTCTATTTTTTTTTGATATAATTGCGGCATTAATTTTTAAATATATCTGATGACGATGCATATTTTAAGATTAGCTCGCACCATTTTTTTGGGGTCAACTGTAAGCTTAGACAAGTGTAAATGATAGCAGTATCTGAGCATCATTATCATAATTCTTGAGATATCGTCATCGCATTCTTTCTGATGATGACTGGTTTTTATTTTGGGTGTAGGCAATGAAAGTGTCCATTATGGTAATGACGCTCATCATCATTACGATAAAATTTTAGTTAATTTTTTGAAAAGATTTTCTTATAAAGTTTTTCCAGCGGCAGCGGCTTATTTCAAGTCTTATGTACGGTTATTTATGACTAAGCATAGATTTCTCTTTTTCTCTTCTAAACGCAACAGAAAAAAAAAGAAGAGGCCGCCAACGTATCTTCTTTTTTTTTTTTGGTCAATAAACGGTTGAAAGATGATTTTCAAATTATTGAGTGATCGTTTAATAAACGGTTTCTTTTTTTTTTTTGTTGTTGTTTATCTTCTTCTTCTTGCTTTTCTTCTTTTTGAATAACTCACCACCTAAAATGCCATGTATGCTGTAATCTTTGCGTCCGTCTTCACAGCTGCCTCGTATTAATCGACTTATTGATGATGTTGAAGGTGGTTCCGCGAAACCTTCCTGTATGAATAAAAATTTATTAAAATTAATGTAAAATAAATTCAAATTCTTTATAAATTTTAGAAGTCATGGGTTTTTGAGATATCAAGCAAAGGCAAACCAGCGCAACTAAGAAGACTACATTCACTAATGGTTGAACCTTTTACTTCTTGAAATGCTCGCTGGTTGTGTTAGCTTTTTTTCTGCAGTGCTTGTGACGAACTTGATCTGATTTAAAGTTTAACTGCACCAGTTTTGTAGACTGGAAAATTCCGATGAAATGCAGGGGGAAAATTTACTAGATTCAGTTTAGAGTCGAAACATTACGAAGTCGGAAGGGCAATACCAGTGGATCAACCTTGGCAATTTTTGGAACTTCTCGCCTTCCTAAAGGCAATGCTCAGTATTGGTACCGGAGAGACCAGTTAATATTTTTTATAGATTGTGAACTTGCTTGCGCATACCAAGCTTACTTTGTACTTTTCTAAATTATAAGTTTCATTTTTTTGCGCCTTATGATCATTCTTGTACGTGGACGATGCATTAAACTGCATCCCCTATCATAGAAGAGCGCGCGTGACATGATTGCAATTTCTATCTCAATCTTTACAATCGTAGCCATTTAGCAAGAATGAAAAGAAATATACCAAGACGACAGTATTATGCTGATGTGGACCACGCGTCAATCTCTATCTGCCCTAATCATTTAAGAGCGTGTGTGACACGATTGAACTTTCTATCTTAGTTTTTACAATCACAGCCGTTTAACAAGAGTAAAAAGACAGACAGGAAGACGGCAGGACGGTAGAGCGACATGATTAAGTTAACTCAGAATATAAAGTATATATAGTTTATGAGATTTCTAAAGCACACTTCCGAATGGTCCAGTTTAGCATACTCCGTCTTTCGATTATGCGTATGAAACAATCGCGTGAAATTGCTAACACATATTTATGGACGTTGGAAACGGCGGCCCACGTAAGCAATTAAGCGATACATTCTAAATGGCTTTGCATTTCTACGTCCCTTTTGAACTCTTTTTTATCGTGTCAATCGAACCATAATTCGTCTTTCATGGACTCTAAATGAGAATTTTTGGAAAAAGATAAACCAGCGTGTGCGGCGCTTGGGAAGTTTTTGCCCATAAGCTCCTGCTTAAGCTGAAATCTTAGTGAACAAAACTAAGCTTCAGCAAAAAAGGACCAAAAAAGAAGAAACCGCATTTCCGCATCCTTTAGACCCATTCAAACCTTAAACCACCTTTCTCAAGCTTAAATAAATATTTTTCAACGTTGCTTATGGCAAAGGCCTTCGGTGCTACCTAATTTACCTCTGTTCTTAAATTTGCTGTGTTGTAGATACTCCTACAGCTCTTGCAGTATAAGTCATTAATCAAGTATTTCCCACGCCTTCACACACAGAATTCCATAAAAAAGTCTGTGCTTTGCTCGATGTTTTTATCCAGAATTTAATCAAATACTATTTAGCCCAAACAAGCGCATCGCATACCTTTGAAACTCAAATGTTTAAGGTAATCTCTGTGAACAGTGATAACCAGAAGTCTTTAGTTAATGACTTTTGGCAGCTTTTTAAGTGGAATTTGTTCTGATCCGATCCTTGGATCACCCTTAGTTGACAAGAATCAATTTGAGAGCTTTAAGAGCTTTTTAAAGGGAATATATTCCCTGTGATCGAGATAACAGAGATTGATACAATGTCTTGAAGGAGAAGAAGTGGAATTTTCTTGAACCCGTCCCTTGGATAATTCATGATTTGAGAGAGAGATAGCACATTATTTCTTTGGAATTTTCAGTTTCACTTTCATTGTAAAAATGAACCGAAGGAAGTGAAATCTTTCGCGCTTAAGAAGCAAAAAAGCCTTTTACACATTTAATCAATTAAGATAAATCATTGCGGTTTTGTTAGTATCATCCTTGTACGAGTACAGCTAAGAACAGCTCGTGACGAAAATTTTAAGCGACATAAAACTCGCGAGTTTTGAACTTGTACCGGAACTTGGTTAGTTAAAGCAATCGAAATTCAAAATTTTTCATTAAATAATAATTCGTTTGTGAAGTGTTTTTTTTTTTGAAGAATTTTATTCATATTACGGTATTTAGCTATCACAGGTGTCCCAGAGAAATCTTAACAATGTTTTCATATAAAATTGTTGTTGTTGTTTTAAGTTGTTTTATACGTTACGGACAAATACGTAGAAATAACATGCACATACACACATGGATAGAACATTAGTTTTTCTCTTCATTGCATATATACGCAGCAGTCAAAGTAGTGAGTAACCCCCAACTGGCCCAGCAAGATAAACTCTGACAACGGTAGACAAGAAAATTTAAAATGTTATAAATTCAATTCATTTCGTTATAGAAACATTCAGTGCAGTGCGGAAAGAGAAAAAGTAGTAAAAACGGAAAGTTGATGGCAGAAAAGTGAAGAAAAAGAAAAGGCGCGAGAGACGCGTCTGGTGTGATGCTGAAAATGTCTGTCAGTTTTCATTTGTAATGGCATAAACCGGCGTATCGGCGTACCGGCATTTACGTAAGTATGTAGGTATATGTATATGTACCGTATGTTGGGGTGTCGTGTAATCTTTTTTGACTGGCGTGAGCGCATGCGTTCGCCTGTAATAACATCGAAAAGCCACAACTCCAGCGTCTTTAACTCTATAAAGCCTAAACAGTTTATTTCTAAATCACATTTTGTCTGACTGCTTGACTCTCTGTGGTTTTTTTTTTTTCTCATATTATTATTTTCCTGGTGATTAATTTTTCACTCCTGTTGTTGTTGGTGTTGTTTTTGGCATGGAATTTGTTGATCTTGTTAATTTCATAATGTGCATGTGTTTGCCTCGAGACTTAATAGACAAAGCTTCACACTCGCTCGTGGATTGCTTTTAGGCACATAACTGATCGGACACTTCACTTATGTTTGCCTTAAACCTGACTAACTGACATTTGTCCGGCTGTATTTAGTTTTCTTAAAGTGTGAATAAAAAGAGACGAACAGAAAGAAGAAAACAGCAAATCATGTACACACATGTACATCTTATGATTTATCAGCGTTGCTCAAGAGTATCCACATAAGTATGCGCTTACCAATGTGTTCACATAGGCATATACATATATATTATAATGTATATGAGTTGATACCGTGCTGGTCCCTAGCAGGCAATTTTATTGAAAATGTCATGTAAAAGAAACAAGAACAACGAAAAACAACTAACAACACGCAGCATACCATCATAATGTTGATTTGGATTTATTTCCACTTGTGTGATTTCTTGCACACATGCATATGCATGTTTGTGGGTGTGCGTGCGCGCTAGTATACCGTTCATAATCTTAAGCTCTAGTTGTAATCACATACAGTAGTAGTTTATCATTTACGCTGCAGATAATAGTTGAGTTTTTTTCTTCTCTTGAGCTTTGTTTTTAATTGACTCTATTCGAGAGGGTCAGAAAGTGTTGTTGTGCGGTGCGGCCTCGTCATACTTGTGCATGTTTGCTTGTGTTTGCCTACCTATTTCTCATTGCATAGATGACAGCTTATCTTTTTTTCTTGTACATTTATTTTTGACAAGAGCAGCTCTGCTCCTTTCTCAATTTTTTTTCTTTACCGATTTTTGTACATATTTTGATCTGTTTTTCAAGGAAACTTTTCAAAAAATTCAATTCAAGTTTAATTAATTAGTCGACAGCTGGATTGACAGTTGCGCAGTTTGAATAAATTTGTTAACGGTTCATTGGTATTTATTATGTCTCCTCAAGATATCATATGGATTTTGTTATTCCGTCTGCAACAGCGGACAGCTAAGGTGCCAGATAAACTCGGAGAAGAACTTGTGGTCTTTACACAATTACAAGAGACCTAGAACTCGTCTATTTTTTACCAAAAATTGAAACTTGATTTTCACGACATGGAAGCAATTATGATCGCATTAGCGAGCAAATGAGTCTATACTCCTAATAAAGGGAATCAGTTACTTGAGAATAGCTTATAATGACGGGATAAGGTTACTACAAGTAAAGGTATTTGTGCGATGCGAGGTCGGTTCTCACGCAGTTAACTAGAAAAATACCTCTTTTTTCGCAAATCCCTTCCTCTATGTGAACACATCGCAACTGCAGTTTAATTCATTTGATCAAATTATACGTCATTGAATTAATTAAAGAAAAAAACACAACAATTTGGAATTTTATAGTTGGGCAAGGCTAACAACTAGATGCCCTTAGACTTAGACTAATAAAGTTACTCACCCGCTTTGGTAATAATTCGACTAAAAGTTGCACATTACTTTCATGCAAAGTCATTCTTTGCAATCTCCGCACATTGGAGGAATCCTTATAGTCGATGGTATCCAAAAAATAGATCTACGTTATCCAAATTCGATAAGGTTGCTTTCTATGTCAATTTACGAACGAATGTTACGAACTCATGTTTACAATTAAGTTTTAAAAATTGTACCTTTTTACGGTTATATGAGAGAGGTTTCAAAAAATTGCCTTAGAAAACTGAAATCACGACAAGATTCCTTAACTACGTATACAATTTCAGTTTGAGCAGGATTGAGGAATCTTGAAACCAGCCCCATCTCCATTGAATAAATGGGCAAGATCTTAACTAATGAACTCCGAGAACCCACTGAAATACGTGCCGCAGTTCAAATCAATTCAAACCAAAATTGATTCACGTAACGATTCTGGGCGATTTTTGGTTAAGGTGGGTGATAGGACAGTAGAATAGCCTGCGCATGGGTGTTTATCTTCAACGAGGCTAACGACATCAAAATTGTCAAGGAGATGGTAACCATGTTAATTTTTATGCTCATAAGAGACTTTGTGAAACAAGTGAATTCGATGTTACGATAGAGCAGTCGAAGGAGAATAAATGAATGAAAATTTTTTCACATCATTAAAAACTTCAGAGAGCGGGTCTTGCAAAAGCCATACAAGTACATTAGAAAATCCTTTGTGTTGGCCCTTTCAGATTACCATACAAAATATCTAATTAATTGTGGGCGGATCAATCGGCCGATTGCTTATTCGCTGTAACCTACAGTCTCTGGATATTGTAAGCTGAAGGGAGAGCAAATATACCGTACTCTGGTCCTTCAAGAGAGGATAAAAAAAAAGGAACTCATTTTAGGGTTTAACGCAGACGTTTACAAGTGAAGACTTGCATGAAAATACAGTGAACGCTTGGATAAAAATACAAGTGAGGTAAAAACCAAGCGTTCGAGGAAAACTATTGTTGATTTGAAACTTTTTCTATGCACTTCTCAATCAACATATGCTCCTCAGGAAGGTTTTCTGATTCGCAAGCGTAATGTGTTTCAATTTTGGTGGTCGTGTGTGTAGAGACGTAAAGGATTCTCGTTTTGAAAAACATTTAAACAATCAAAGCTTTATAGTTAAAAAAAAATATATATATACATCAAACTAAAATGGTCCGTCATTTCGGCAATATCCCCGATGATGGCCGACAGGAAAGGGGAAAGAGATATAGAGGTTGGCAAGTAAGCCCGATAGGCTACACATCGAATGTTGTAGAAATATGGTTTACCGCATGGGGGATTGAAACGAATTATGTCGATGTGGTGGCCGCTCTTCTTATGTGCTAGGCTATGCGAAATCCTGAAAGGAAGGAAACTAAATGTACATTAAAAGCTCGATATTTGAGAAAAGATGGTCTTGGTATAGTAGGAGTAGGATCAGTAGTGATCTCCAATATACAGGAACTTTATTTGAAAATGTCTCTTTTCCTTGCAAGTGCTAAATACGTTGCATCAATGTTTACACGACCCTATACACTAAAGTTCCGATATCAGATAACAAGTTCTTGGGAAATTATACGAAAGAATTTGCTTCTGTGCGCATTATAACAACCACAATAGGTTAATTGCTCGACAAAGACCATCGACACTTCCGTGAGCGCTAACCCAGCGTTTATTGACGCTTGGACGTTGCTCTCTGAATTGTTGTAATGCCATGTAAGACCATACGTTTCGAATTTTTCAATTAAACTGATTTCGTATAAAAATGTTTATTTGTTTAATAATTTTAATATAACGGTTCATATTCACTATCTTTTATAATTCAAGTTTCATACAAAAATACGATAAATCTTCACGCACAAAAAAAAACAAAAAAAAAAACAATATTATGTAAAAATAAATTTAAATGTAAAGAGATGTTACACACAACGAAAGATTATATCGCAACAGCCTCGAGATGAGAAGGAAATAAAAACATCACAGAATAGCAACAACGGCAACAATAATAGCAACTGATGATTTCTAAATCTTGGCGATGATGGGGCGTTTGTGTATATATAGGCATATATATATATATAAATATATATGTATATACGATATATATACGATAAGCTACGAAAGCATTACATATTCTAATTTAGCGTGAAGCGCACCTGGAGGCTTTGTTAAGCCTACTCAGTCAAATGCAAAAATTCTACAACGATGAACAAAAATAAAAAAGAATAAAAAAAGAGAAAAAAAGAAAAGAAAACAACCTCAAAAATACATATCAATAACAATAACAATAAGTAGATGCATACGTGTACGTAAATCAATGATGATCATCGCACTGCTAACGATCATAGTACGCTACAGCGATACAATGTTGATAAACGCATAAGCGGCGATGAACGATGAACGATGGACGATGAAACAAAACGATCTTTGATCGATAGTTATATCAAAAATGCAAAAAATAAAAGAAATAAATAAAAGAATGAAAAAATGAATGAGGAAAACGAACGAGTCGGAAGATGGTTTTTTTTTCTTTTTTTTTTTTTTTTGCCTATACCATCGGCACTTTTTTTGTGTGTAACTAATTGCGGCTTTTAAGTAAAAGTACGTTTTCTTCCTCTTGACGTTTCGTTTTGCTAACTTTTTCTATATCTGAAAGATATAAATAAAAATAAAAATCATATTTGCCAAAAGGCGCGCGCGCTGCTTAAAGTTCTTTAAACTCCTCCCAAAAACCAAAGAAAAAAAAAAAGAAGAAAACTAAACAATAAATAAAATAAAAAATTTCGCAAAGCGAATCTAATTTGATTAAATAAGTGGAGAGAAAAACAAAAACACAGCATTCAACTGATTGTAACAACAGAACACCAGGCTAACAAAGTGAAAAATGTCATTGATGTAGGTTCGGAGATACCAATGCACGAACACACACACGCACATATAACATTCAATACTTAAGTTACGCTAATTTAGTGTAAACAAAAAAGAAAACAAGAAAAAAAAAAACAAATCAGAGCAAGTAAGTCTGAATGAATTCTGGTTAGCCTTTGACGACAACCGACATTTTGTAATTCACACAAAAGGAACGAAGTTTTTTTTGCTTTTGTTTTGTTAACTTATATGAATGCATTAATGCAATTGCCTTCGGCCGTTCAGAACTGTCTGCTCAAGGTGTTAATGGTGATAAAAATTTAAATTTAGGCAATAACTACGTAGTTATTGTTAGTGTTTAGTTCATGTGCGTGCTAAAGCGGAAGTTGCTTGGGATTGCAATTCATTCAGCTACACGTACATACATGTATGTACACACGTATACATACAGATGAATATATGAATGTATATATATATATATATATATATATATATTTGCACCTTGCTGTCCTTTATGAATGAATTTGATGTCATATCGGTTTGGGTGGCCATCGCTCCCTATTTGTTTGACAATTTTTCAACAATTTATCTCAACTTTTCGGTAAAATTCATTGATGCTTATCCTACTGGTAGCTATACGAACATAAATAAACATCACAGGGGAGGCCGAAGTAAAAACCAAACTTATTTATCATTCAACAGAGACACGTGACTTTTTGGAAATTTGCAGATTTTATTGCCTGCGGTTTGCTATAAAGTCGAGATAACGAAAATAGAATAGATAATAGTCTACTTACCTTAATTAATCTCTCTCGTATTTCCCAACTAAATAAACCGGGATTTTCTTTATACATTTGTTTAATGCGTGTTTCAATTTCTGGCGAAGTTACTTTCGGTTTTGAGCCGCCTATAACACCCGGACGTATTGAACCAGTCTCTTGATAACGATTCAAAATTTTCGATACGCAGCCATGCGAGACGCGCAATTTTCGTGATATCACGCAAGGCCGTATACCATTGCTGGCCATTTTTACAATTTCTGAACGTATATGATTCGGTAAAGGACGACCGTTAATAAAAACACCACCCAATTGGTTAACACGACCTTGGCCTGTAATAGGGGGAAAAAAAAAAATTGATTAGAATTCCTCCGAGATTTGAAGTCGAAGCAAAGTTGAAGCCAAAAAAGAATTCTCAAGAGTTGATGAATACCCGATAACATGGCGAACAATGACCAGCGAAAGCGTCAGACTTTGTATCCTCCATATATTTTACTTATTTTATTTCTAAATATTCAGCTCGGATCGATTTTGAAAAAAGAGGAAAATTTTATCTAATTTGATGTCTTTATTAGAAAGATTTTTCTTATCTCGTTGGAATATTGCATATGTATGCACACATACATTGAATTGTAGGAAAGCATTACTTCTTTCTCCGCTTTAGTTCGAAGAGACATATTGACATAACTCATCGATTAAGGCTGTTGTTAGAAAACTTATACACCATGACATCTAAGACCGTGCAAAGTGTCGAACTCGGGCGTAACCGTCAGTGACGAGATTGTGTCCGATTATTTATAAAATTTGACTTTTTTAAAGCTGCTGAGCCAAACCATCTAATCTACCTTCAGAAAAAACAAGAGCTGGTAGTCTTAGTTGCTCAGCCTACCTTTAGTCCTAGAATTTATTTCTTTGGTTTACTTAAATTACAATAATAATAATAATAATAATATGAAAGCACTAAAGGCAATTGAACTATTACAGCCGATGCAGTTGAGCCATTAAAGGAAAAAGTGCTGCGATATGCCGATAGAAAGTTTTCATGCATCGCCATGCTCGATTCTATATGGCGAAAACCGTCATATCGTAAACAGTTGCCTGCATTCACCAAGAAGTTCTTTGTTTTATTGTCCTTGGCTTCAAACAATGACTTATGTCCGAACAACTTCGACATGTTCGAATTGCGTTGCCTTTCCTAAGCATTGCTGACCTTTGTGAGCAACGTTGTCTAGTCTGAATAGCACTGATCTGTCGGAGCAGTGTTTACTTGGTTAAAAGTCGTCCTAAAAGTCTGAGCGATGCTGCCCTTTGTCGGAGTAGCGCTAACCTATACATCGGCTTGAGCAGTTCTTCCCTTTTTGTAAAGACACCAAGAAATGATTTCTTTCCTGAATACTACAAGGTGTTTTTTTGGCGCCCAATTTATTTGTTATCAAAAAGGAAAGGCTGACAATGAAGACTATCTTGAACAAACAGAGTTTGTTGTGCCACGCTTAGAGAATAAATGTTCGAAAGCAATTCGCCAAAACTTAATCACAGACGAACTTATTCACGAGTCTAGAATTCTAAAGCCATCATATCGGCCGCGCACAACTGCGGTAGAATGCAGTACGCGTAAGCTCAGCATTCTTTGCTTGTGGTTAATAACTTACAAGCTAAAGCACATTTGCATCTTGCAGTTCGGAGTAAAGATAGTCCCACATATATTTAAACTAACCATGTTGATTACAGAATGAACTAATGTATGCGGTCTTTACTTTATCTAGTTGGAATTTCCTTTTCTAACAAAAGTTCAATCCCTATATCGTGGGAGAAGGTATGAGAAAAATCGCCTTAAGATGCGTAAATTGACAAAGGCTCGCGGGGTAAATGTAAACTCCTTTCTTATTAATGCATTAATAGAGAGAATTGGTTCTATGAAAATCTATGCGATAATAGGACGAAAATTTATTTTTCGCGATATGCGTAATAATTACAAACCCGTACATTTGTTCGAAAATTGAAAGGAGTACTTATCCTCTTCCTGACGAACGCTTTTTAGATAATAAGACGGATTAGATATTTAGTGGAAGAACTTTTAAAGGCTATCGTTCAAGTTTTAGTGATTATTTGAACACTAATCCTTACCCATCTATTGCACTACTGTTATGAATTCATTAAACGCTTGAGTTTGTAAATTAATTTAATTTGCCCCCGTATATTTCGCCCATTCCTTTTGTTTAGAACCACATATTTAGTCGGCTGCTCACTTAATCAGTCAGTTAGCTCTCTGCATTAAGCAACCCATCTGATGCTCTGATATCCGATTTTTCACCTTCGGACTCCTGCTTCTTATATATTTATGGCGAATGCAGGCAATTTTGAAATGTAAACAATAGTACTTTTTGCAGATTAAAAAAGTAATTCCCGACCAGAGCCGCCAACAAGGAATGCATTAAAATTTATTCATTTATTTGTTCTATTTACGGTGCAACCGTTTGAATATAAATCTTTAGTTCATGCTTTCTTCAAGTCCTCCTTTCCCGATTATCTAAAATTCAGATTTCTTACCTACCTCTACAAAATCATTTAATACCCATCGCAAAGCCTATTAATAGAATGTCCGCGTTTCTCGAGATCGAATAGAAATCCTTTCATATTAATACCAAGTTTTCCTAACGCAGCAGCCGAACGATCTTTTGCTGTTCGTCGCGCTACATATTGGAATATCTTCCAACTGAATCTGCAAACTTTCGATAATTCCTTGAATATGTTTGGAAGAAACTCCACCGCAGATGATTACATTTGCAGCCATCCAGCTGACTTATATACTCACTTACGTTATAGCTTCTTTTTTTGGGGCTTTATAGTTACTTAATAAATCAATGAATGAAAAAATGAAGTGAGGACTGAAAGAAGATGCTTCGACTTTTAGTCCTTGAAAGGTTCAAATTGGCAAGGGACGGAAAACATTGGCTTTATGCCAACCCATCATGAGACAAGAAAACTTTTGAGCTCGCAACTATACCAGAAATAGTCCTTTCTCTGGCTCAAGTTTGGCTCGCAGAATTAGTCCCCGTTGCAGTCGGTCCTTTCGATAATATCTCAGCAGTAAAAATGTATAATCCATGTATGGGAGTTTTTCCCGGCTCCCACACAACCGTTCCCTTCATTTATATCTCTTGGCTTGTATTGTATTGTATTGTTTTGTAACGGTAAGCCTGCTCACTTACCCTGAAACGGATATCCAGCAAAAAATGGTCGCATATTCAACGAATTGGCACTCGTCATATCCATTTTGTTAAGGATTTTTTTCAAAAATTGCATAAATCTTGGAATAAAGTAATTAAATGATTGCACTCTTTCTTAAACGCTTTTGCATTTTCTTTCAATATTATTTTTTTTCATTAATTTTTTACTTTTCTTATTTTTTATTTTTCTTTTCACTTGCTATCACTAAGTATAAATTACCGACGGATGTTGTTAAGGCATTTTCAATGAATCTTTCATGTTATTAGTAGTTAAAGCTAAATGTTAACGGTATTTGCAAATGAGGCGAAAGAAAAAAACAAAAAATTCGAAAAAAATTTGAAACGCGCTTTTACAACAACACCCGACACTTGGCCAACAACTAAAGAGCGCGCGAGCATAAATTAATAAAAGTCGCGAGCAACAAGATCGGAATGC